GTTAATTTATTGAATGATTCTTTAACTTGCAAAGTTTATTTGCGAAGTGTATAATCAAATTACATAATTGAGTAGTTAATTTATTGCATGTTTCTTTAACTTGCAAAGTTTATTTGTTATGTGTATGATAATACTATACTCTTGTAGCTAATATGAATAACTAATGTATATAATGTTCTATATGCAAATATACTTATGTTTATTCTAAAAACATATTAACACGTTTTTATAGTATAATCCAATGATGCAATCATTTCTACGTCTATATATATTATACTAATTCATAATAATTGTTGTGGCTGATGCTGAAATTTAGGGTCTCAATTTAAATCTATAATACTCACATATACTTTTTTACTAACAACTCTACTCTCAAACCCTAATGAAAAGACCTGAAAATTTTTCAAAATTTTATAATAAAATAAGTCAAAATTTCAGCATCAGCCAATTTTAGCATCAGCTATGACAATAATTGTTATATGAAAAATAATATGAATGAAAAGAAAGTTGTACAAGCATATTGTCAACAAACATCTTACTTTCTTTACTATAAGATGCAAAAACATTTATCAACAATATAATAATAACATTAAATATGTACTGCATATACAACTACAAATAAAATTCAAATTGGTTTATTGCTATAATTATTTTGCTTTTTCTGAAATAAAATTTCTATTATGAACATACTTTTTAATAAAATGTAGCACATAGTGACATGTGAGGAGCTAGTATTGGTATTATCTGGCAATTTATAATCATGATTAGTAGGGAGTTACTTGCTGAGTTTTAATTTTAAATACTGGAATAAACATAATTACATAGTAATACATAAAAGAAAAATTTTTTTTCATGATTATATGAGTTTGCCAGATAACTTACTGTAAGTTATTTTTAAAATGTAAGTTACATTTTAAGTCATGTAAGTTATCATATAAGGTAAGTTATATATAATAATAATAAAAATTTTATCCTTCTGGTTGGTGTTAATACAAAGCCGGCCTGCTTTACTATGATATATTTTGTAATTTATGATGTAACTTACAATATAAGTTACATTGTCAGGTAAGTTATTACAACTCTATTACCAACACTGAGTATCTGATAAATTTATTTGTAATGGTAATCGAGGTTATTCATTAACCATAACCGGCAGATCCTTGATTTTGATTGGCTAATGGCTGAGAATCTTTGAAATTTTGGCCAACATTACAAATTTGTTTACTAATTTCCGGCCGGAATTAACTTTTGAATTTTTTCATTACAAAAATAAAAATTCTTAAAAAATAAGCCTGCATTATGGTAAAATTGGCCCAGGAACAATTTTTTAATGGGCAGTAGGGACATGGAAAAATACCAGTTTGATTTGTAAAAAAATTATTTTGATATAGTAAAAAATCCTTTTTATAGTGATATAAAATTTTACTCCTATTTTATCTATATAGTCAATTCTCCACAAGTGCTCTTTCTATCTTCATAAGTGCCATTTAATTTCGCAATAAAATATATTGCATTTAGAGTAATTATTATCATGCGTTATAATTAGATTTCTCTATAAATACACATTTCTAGATGGAGATCTCACTTTCTAACTCTGCGACCTCCCGACTAATTCGCCCATATTTCATATTTCTTGATATCTTCAGAACTTTTCTAAAACTTTCCAACATTTCTAATTTTCTTACCTGGCCCAAATTTAACATATACTGCTCTTAATTTTGCCCAAAAATTCGTTGCCGTCAAAAATTCCATTTTATACCGTTTTGTAGTAAATATTCCTTATTCATATCTATATATACATGAATTTTTCCGTGTCCCTGATGGGCGGCTATGACTTCATTAGTAAAATTATGAGTAATTCCGGCCTAATTTTTTTGATCGTCGCTCTTAGCCAATCAAAATCGAGAATCTGCCGCATGCGGCGCAGATCTTATTAATAAATTCGAAAGTTTTTCAAAACTTCTAGCGATGATTTCTCAAAAACTACTTAATTAAATTTATTTTAATTTCAATTCTATAGATTTATAGAATTAAAATAAAAAGAGTTCATTCAGTAGTTATTGAGAAATCATCACTAAAATTAAAAAAAAAACTTAAAATATCGATAAAAAAAACATCGGATAAATTATTTCTTGTTTAAGCTTTAAACAAAGGTTTCTCGACAACCAACTATTTAAATTTGATGAAATTTTTTTATTTTGATTCTTTGGGTCATGGAATTAAAATAAAAAAAATTGTCGAATTTAGATAGCAGGTTATCGAGAAATATTCATTAAAATAAAATTGGCCACAGCTTCTTTTTTTAAGGCATCGAACTTTGAACGAGGATTATTCAGCACTTACTTGGCCAAATTCGATCAATTTTTTATTTTAATTATATGAGCTTATAGAATTTAAATAAAAAAATTTGATCGAATTTGATCAGGTAAATGCCGAGTAATCTTCGTTCAAAGTTTAGACACCTAAAAAAAGAAGTCGCGGCCAAATTTTTTTAAATATTTTTTTAACAACCTTCCAAATTCAATCAATTTTTTTTTATTTTAATTTACGAAGAAAGAGATTTCAAGATCGCACGATTAGCATCTCTACCATTAATATTAAATGAACGATAATTAAAACTAAGTTCGAACAGTTTTGGTTTTATACTGCCACACCGGTTATAACTGGTTAAAGATTACAAGATATAGATAAAAGCAATATGTTACCGCTGATTATTAATAAATGGGACTATATATACCTGGAATCGAAAAGAAGTTCTTCGTGCAATGCATTATGCTATATCTCTAGCCAAAAGATGCCATCTGCAAGATCAAAAAGCTTCAAAGTAAGCGCAATATTTACAATTTGATAATATGTGAGTATGCAGTCCACAAGTGCTTGTTTTTTTGGTGCAACGTATTGTCTTGTGGAAAGCTTTTGAAATTTACAAAATTTCGTCGAGAAACTTGAATCATAATCACAAATTACAATGACATACTGCTAAATAAATCATAAATTTTGTCACGATCATGACGAAACATTGGATATTTCTTAGTACTGATGTTCCTATAATCTTCCTTTGATAAGTAATCTACTTCAGAATTTGTGCTTTTAATAAACAATCTAAAACTGCAGTTTCTTTTTATAACAGAATAGACTTGTTTACAATCAAACTTTTGTTTATGATTATTGCTCAATACATAAAAACCTCATAATCCACATAGTGTTTTCATGACACGTTGGGTGGATTGTCAACTTAGTAAATTAAAGCTATATGTGATCACTAATATTAATCAGTAAAATATATGAGTGTCGTCAAAAGAAAACCCGACAATTTAAATATAGACTATATTTAAATTGTCGGGTTTTCTTTTGGCGACACTCATATATATAATTGGGGTTCTTTTTTTTAGATGCACAGATTGCAATTTTCCTTTTTAACAAAAAATTTTAACGTCAATTGACTCTTTACTATCCCATTAAAAAAGTTACAGAGCCATTTTTTACATTATATAGAAAACTAAAAATTTTTCCTAATTATCATTTTATATATAGTTTTGATTTATTTGGTTGACAGACAGCCCCAATGACACGTCAAGACGCGTTAGAGAAGCAGAACATTTTTCATTGTCATCTGGCTAAAGATTCTGATGAGATAACTTTAGAGTGGTGAAATAATTTCAACTCTATTAGTGAAATTGGTGTTGAATTGGTGAAATCGGTAAAATTAATTTCACTAGTAACTATATTCTAACTCAAGTTCCCAAATGCATTTTTGTAGAATTTGTCATAGGTAATAAATTAAGGAAAGTGTTCATTCGTCAAATGACAGAATGAATTTGGAACTTCATCATCCTGCTTCACATTTTTCTTTTTGGTCTTCTTATCAGTAATGTCAATTCTGTCAATTCTACGAAATTGAGACTTAGACAACTTTTTTCCAGCAAACATACACACAGACTCTTAACCCATAAAAATATCCCTTTACTGGCGACTTATTACTCATAGTAATAAGTATTAGCCTCTTATAACAACCCCTACCGTATAGGCGCGTAATAACGCGCATCTGTGCGTTATTTTGACTCTGCGCGTTATTTCGGAACGCGTATGCGTGATAATTAGAATAATTATCCCAATTTTGAAGAAAAAAGTTACAACTGCTAAAAACTTATCTGAGAATATCTATGTGGGGTGCGTTATTTCGGAACTCGCATGGGCGTTATTTTGAGTCAAATATGCGATTTTCAAAAAATTAGAATTTTCGAAATAGCGTCCATGTGCGTTATTACGCGCCTATACGGTACCGTTTTCATATGAAGATGGGGCTTCATATAGTTGATTTGCAAGGTATGAAGCTGCCAATCTAAATACGATGCATGTGGTTTTCCAGTTCCTAAATACTCGATATGCAAAAGTCAACTTGTTTTTTTTAACAATAGCGACTAACCAGATCTGCCTATGACGATCGTCGAAGTAGGGTAGTTTATGAATTCCATTCTCTAGTGTGAGATCGGAACCACACATGACGAGCGATTGGATGGATTTCTGAAAAAAAGTTATTAGAACGTCTGTGTTTAATTGTGTAGTAAAATTATATATGCTCTACCGTTGATATTGACGAAAACTTATTTGTAATGAAAATTTTGTAAGTTTCTATTGAAAACCAGTTGTGAGTCACACAGGTGGTTTTCGGAAGACTTTGTTACTTCCTCGCCTCTAAAAGGTATGGGTAAAATGGTAAAATAATGCCATCTTTGATTAATCTGTCTTACCATACCCTGTAATTGTAAATTTGATGTGTCAACACGAGGTTTCTTAATGTCTAATCAATTTTTTCAAAGATGTCAGTACCGTAATGGGTCAAATTTTTTTACGAGCTGCGTAACGGGAAACTTCACATATATAGGAGCACTATTAAAATTATTCATACATTGAAATTTGTATTTATTCCGTTCCACAGACGATATTTGACCGAGTTTTTTTCGTAACTGCCTCAATCACAAGAGGCGATTTTCTTCTGGATGCCTTTTACAGTATCTCTACCAAAAAGACTATCACACGGTCCAAGCTTGCCACTGTCATCAAATCCGAAGGGAAGGAGAAAAAGGCATTCTGGTTCTTTAGATTCTCCATTAATATTAGCAAGCTCTTCGGACTCTTCTCAAGTAGTGAAAAGTATTTATGAATACTAAAACAAATCAGCATGTTTTTATGACATTTGGGCATGGTAATGATCTTACTAAATCCTATGTAAAATAGATTAACAATTTGAAATAAATTCTTTACAATACAAAAATTATTATAGTATTTACTTGGAATAAACTAATTTTCCGTTGCATGACTTTGGCAAATCCAAGGAATTTATATCCCCTAATAGCATGAAATTTTGTTCATCTTGGATGGATAAGGATATTGAACTAATGAAAATCGTAGAAGAATATTTAATTTCCTATCTGTTACGATTAGATATATTCATTTCTTGTAGCATGGGCGGTAATGTATTTTCCCTGACCACAAAAGCAAGTTCCTTAGAGTTTCTATCAGAGTTGAGCAAGCCTTGCTCTTTGATAGTTTAGATGTTACATCATTGTTCAAGACATTTATGTCCATAGTCCTAAGTAATTCTTCATTCTCATTCTCAATTCAGTCTATCATATTAAAATTAAACAGAGTTCGCTTGAGGCAGCAGTAACAGATGCTTCCCATCAGAGTCTATTATTGTGCTGAATACGCATTTTATTCTCAGAATAGCAAGAGATTTATCTTGTGACTGCCGTAGGAATCAGATGCAGCTGAAGAGAAGCTCTCCAAAGCAAAGAATATCGAAACAATGTAAATTCTGCATGAAGACGATCGAAATTAATGACGAGACCAAAAGTACGACGATTCCGTGAAGAATATCGTGGGGCAAGATACGAGGGTGTTTAATGTTGAAAGGTAAATACTGAGAGACTAATCTGGTGATACTTTGAATAAATCATACAAAACACGTTTGTAGTGTAATTAAACTATATAGTATATACAGTATAATATTATGCACTAAAGACGGTTTTTTGCATTTTCTTACGCTGAATAATTGTCGCGTCATTATATAGGCATACAATATAGAATATCACGCAGAATTTACTACACAAATTCACATTAAATTATTGTCATGATCATTTCTTTAGCTTTATACATGGTTATTTTTTAACATGAAAGAGAGCTAGCGTAAGAAATGTGATTTATTATTATTATTATTATTTATCCCTAATACAGTATATAAACCAAAGATTTTATTAATGTCGACATTATAATCTTAAATTATTAATGTCCAATGAAATTGCTCAAATAGAATAAAACTAGGAATTGGAATTAAACCCGTTTTTTAATCAGTTTTAGCATATTAAAAATAAAACCGGTTCCCAAACTCTACATAGACCAATAACCGATCTCTGCACTTTAAATAATTTTCTTTGATCATATTATTAAATTCTCTTTGTACTGTACATATTCAAGTTCAAAATATTGGTTTTATCAAATCAAATATACATATACAAGATAAAAAACCCAAATAGATATTTTTTAAAAAAAATGTTGCATAATTTACAATTTGCCGCATGTATAATCTGGCCAGTGCCGCCACTGTCACGGGCTAAAAGTGACATTGCAAAAGGTGAGCCATGTGTGTAAGATAACCGCGGATAGTTAAACCTCTTTATTGGTCTAGCAAAAGGTTTCTAAAGGGCGTAACTTGGGTGTGGTTGGTTACGACACTTATCTGCGAGGTAGGGGTACATAAGAATCCTAACCTATGATAATTCCCTTTAATGCAGTAATGAAGAAGTCGGCCGAACCACTATAGTCACGTCTCTGGCAAGAAGCCACTAGCGATTTTAGGATTTCGTAAAATTAAATAACAGCCTCGCTCGTGACACCACCAAAATCAATGCGCGTACAGTGTCACAATAATACAGTAAGTGAGAGTGAAAATCAGGAAATAAAATTTATGATTGGTTAAATTTTATTTCCTGGTTTTCATTCTCGCGCACTCATATGATCACACAAAATTTTCTTTATCTTTTTCACATTTACGTAATTTTTGTTTACCTTGTCGAATGATGAAACCTGTAAATTTATTGCAAAATAATAAAAAGAAAACCACGTTTTATTTATTATGTTTCAAAAGGTTTTCATTGTTTTAAAAACTTCAAAATTTAATATAAATATAACAAAATTCACAAACTTTTTATTGTAAAGGTCAAAGAGCTTTTAAGAAAATATTAAAATAAACATAACTAATAATACACGAGTAATAAATATTTATGTTAAAATATAAATTAGCTTAAAGATTTTAAGCTAAGTGTTGAAATTCAAATTGTGCCTTTAAAAAATCGAACTCAATATATTTTGAACATTTGTGATCAATATTTACAATCCTAAATAAATAAATGATTATTCTCTTTCGAAAAATCATAATTTTGTTTCATGTTAATCAAAACAATATTCATGCTTAGATCATGGTAATACTACTGTATTAGGTGGGACTGATTTTTAACTTTGCTTGGATTTGCTAGTTCATTACGAAGCACAATGTGTTTCAAAGCTAAAGTGCATGACAACTTGGGCAACATTGGATGAAATTCGACACAAATTTTACAATTATGACCTCTTTAAATTATCAGAATTAACTTTTGCATAGATGTGTGCATTCTTAGAATAGTGTCACGCGTTCCGAAATTAAATGTAACTGCACCTTAAATCCTGTGAATAAAGAATCAATGCTCCACACGAATGAAGCAATGAATTATACGATATGACGGTTCCGCCGACAATTTCACCGACTGACATCACATCAGGTAACAACTTACTAAAAATATATACCTACAACTAATCAAATACTAACCCTAACTCTATGCGATGTCAGCTAAATGAGCTGTCGGTGATGTGACAATAAATGAATGACGCGAAATAAGATTGGTTACAATGACTAGCACATGGCAGCGTGTAAGCTCTATGCAAAACTTAGAGCCTTCTTCGAAAAGAAACTATTTAAAAGACGTAATTTGAAAGTGGTTGGTTACACTTGTATGCAAGGGGCACAGATAAATATAAAGAAACATTTCAAATCATCATAATCAACCCCTGGCGAGTTTCCTTATTCCATTTTTTCTTTTTCTCTTCGGGATGTCGTCATACTTTATTTACATTTCGTCCGTGGCAATAGGAGTCGGATAGACCGCCGGGCAGTCTAAAAATGTGATTGATATAATAAATAGCTAATCAAACAAATTTATTTTAACTTCATACGCATGTAAAGACATAAAAAATTGCTTAATAATGCGATGCCCAATGAAGATTACGATTGTGATTTAATCTTTTCGAAATTTTCCAGAGGTCTTGAAACCTGTCATTTCAGTGTTTAGAGTCATGTCATATCGATAGTCTTGTACTACACTTGTGTAGAGTTGTGTCACAAAAGTTACAATTGTAACTCCTCAATCACTGAAAATTTTGTAAATACATACTGTGTTCAAAGTTATAAATTAATTTACCGAAACTCACCGAAGCTTGCCGAAACTTGCCGAATAATCGCAAATTTTACAATCCTTAGTGTGACAGATCCTCGGGCTAAGACCAATCTTGCATCCCCAAATCTTATCAATGGTCTGCAAGAAACCCTAAGATTTTCATGAAGTGCATAAACTCACGTGAACCACGTAACAAAAAATAATAAATGCGTTTTGTTTATACGTATCACAAATCTTATCTATATTTCAATCGTGTGCTATAGTGTGCTGAGCTTTATTCAACAATACTCATTTAATATAATGAACAAGTTATGAATTAATTGCTTTTTTCTTTTTTTTTTATTTATTATATAAAATATGATTTAACGGCTTTTATTTTGATAATTAGTGAATTAAGGAATCATTTTACTTTAATACGTAGCAACTTGCAGATATTGTGCTCCAATTATGCACCAAAACGCGAGTACGAAGCGTAACAAAGAATAAAATATATGACAAACTTAAAAAAATTCTTGTGACCGTTAATAACTTTTTTTGAAAAGAAAGTCAAATAGAAGAATGAACATTCCAAAAAAATGAATACTTTTTAAATTTTGTTTAGCCACACATATACAAATCATGCATTTACTCGCTCACATGTTTATAATCATGTATTCACTACATTTATCCCTGGATAGTATTTCTATACGATATTACGACCATATTTCGAGTGTTAAATATGAATCTTATTCATTTTTTTGCATACCGTAAATTCTCAAAATAGTAGGCATGGGCGTTATTTTGAGGTTTGGTCCGAAGTAAGCTTAATTTAGGCCAAATTTCGTAATTTTACTCCTGGGCGTTATTTCGAGAATTTATATGACATTCACATATTGTTAATATATATAGAAATATATAACTTACAGTAGCATACACAGTGTAATTAATATAATAATTAAAAACTGTCAAAGATCATCATAAATAGTAAATATACAATATCACACAAATCGACAATTAAAAATATTTTCATTTGAGAAGAGTGGAAAAAATTGTGTTACATTTAGCGTTGCACAAAATAGAAATAATAAAATCGGTTGGCAAGAATAATATTATTGTGTGCAACTTTGAAGTAAATGATAAAGATACATTCAGAAAAAAAAAAAAAATTATTAATGCATTTCAAAAAAATTGAACTATTCGAAATGATAGCCTAAATCGAAAGAGTTGTGTTAATTAAATTGAGAGTAGGTCTAGAAATTTGAGCAAATCACACAAATATTATTTTTTATTTATACGTACAAAATTAATGTTATTTATCTTCGATCATATTTCACGCATACTTGTTTGTACATAATAAAAATGTGTAGCATCTAAATAGAAAATTAAATCAGATTCGGGAAAAGTTTCATAGCTATCTGGTAACATTATTTTATTACCTTTTATTATCATGCATCCAAGTTAGGATGTTTCAGCATGGGAATTACCGGTTATTAAAAAAAAAGTCGTACAATAGAAATTATCTGTGTATCTACATGTACAAAAAAGGAACGTGGTTTGTACAATGCCCATTTATGGAAATACGAAAGCACAATAATTTTATATACTTAATTTGAGTCAATTGGTTCTTCGAGTACAAAGATGCAAATAATGACACATTGATTTGTCCTCGGTTTTTATAAACTCAAAAGTATTTAAAAAGACACAATGTAGTAATCATTTTACGTTTAAGACGACATTACTTCACCTCCACGAACACGGTCGTAGCCCTTTGTGCTGGCCATTCTTGCCTTCATTTTTGATTTTATTATTATACAATCAACGTTTACATCTTTTTCCGAACACCCATTTTATATTCCCTGAGTATTAGTTTTAAATCGGCTGGACTGTAAAAAAAAAGAAATCTAATACCATCCGTCAACATCATCTTTATCCTTTTTGAAAATGAAGTCAACAGTTATTTTTTTCACCTTATGTTTCCTTTTCTCAGTTTTCGCCACAATTTCTGCTTACCCGCAAAAAAGAGGAGCAGTTGGCGAGTGGAGGGTTGCTAGGGCAACATTAATGAGAAGTATGCTCTACAAGCGTGATGGCGACACAAATAGTACTGATGATAGTAGTGCTGGTGGTCTTGAATACGATGGCCCATCAGTAGAAGCAACCTACAATCCAGGAAATTCAGACAATTCGGACAACCAAGGAAATGCAGACGGTGGAAACTCAGACAATTTAAGCTTGGCTAATAATACGAATACTCCGGATTTTTCGGATAGGAAAAAAACTGGTTCCTCCTCATCAGGTGGCTCCCACTCATCAGGTGGCTCCTCCTCATCAGGTGGCCAAACTACAGGCAGTTCTGTAGGTGCCAAAATAACTTTTTATGAAGGCTCAACGCTTGAAAACGCCTTTTGTTATGGAAATGGAAAACTACCATCATATAATGCAAAATCAACAGATATGATCGGTGCTATGAAAATGAGTGGAACCTCCATGTGTTATAAATGTGTACAAATTCTATGTGGTTCAAATTCTGTCGTGGTAAAAATTATTGACAGATGCGCCACATGCGGAAGTAGTCAAGATATTGATTTAACCAAAGCAGCCTTTACTAAACTTGCACCAGCTGTAAAGGGAATTGTTTCAATAACTTGGCGCCTTCTTAAAACTTGCCCAGGTGATGGTGACTGGCCAACTTTAGAAGACGATAAATAATGCAATAGTTAGTTTTATCAAGTCAAGAGTAATTACCCCCCTTAGTTTAAATAAATATTTGGATAATACATATTATTTAATGTTCTGATGTCTCGATAAATCTATCCATTTTTCAAACCAACTATATATTTATATATACGTGTAGAATCATGTAGAATTCTTATTAATTTATTTAATATGGATAGATGTAATGAGGCTGTTAATTAAATCTTAATTTGTTTCTAATAAAAAATAAAAAAAATAAATAAATATAAAGTTCTTTACTGCACAAGTTTGCATGTAATAATTGACAATGAATGATTCTTCGCAATCGAGTCAAAGTTGTATTATATTAAATATCTTTATTTATGAATTATATATTCTTTACGAGACTTGTCAAAAATAAATTTTAACCATATCTATCATACTTGTTTTGTTAAAAGTTGCTAACTATTTTTGACAACACAAAAAGAGCCGTGCACTTTGCATTTATTAACAATAACTTAGCGCATATATCAATACATATATTGTATACATCAAAATATGTGGGGTTGTGTATGTCACACGTACGTACACACATGGGATCCGCCTTATTTCACCAACAATCCACTCATAGCCGACATCACGCCCATGTGGCAATTTATTAAATATATATATACGTACGTATGTACCTGCAACTAATCAAAATTTAACCCTAACCCCTATGTGATGTCGGTTAAATGAACTTTCAGTGAAATGTCTGTCGGTGAAGTGAACAACACCGACGCAGATGTAAATATGCCCAATGTCAATGATTTACCGTAATATTTGAGTGTTACTTTTAAAAATGTAAAGATTTCACATTACATATATTAATTACAAGATAGATCGTTTAAATGATTTCTTGGAATTTCCGTCAATAACAAGGCGCATATTGTATTTTTCTTGGTATAAATTTCATCTATTGTATAAAAAAAATATAAACAAAATTTCAATAATGTGATACATAGACTAATTCGTTCAACCTGTATACATGTTTTAAACATTAACAGGTTTTGATTCGAAAATATTTTTCTGAAAATTCTTGTAATAATATTGAGATTATCGTTATTTTGTCTAGGCATTGGGGTTCTCGGCATGAGGGTCCTTGTCATGCCGTCTTGCATGCCAAATTTTTTTATCGTGCCAAGATCCCTACTAGACATAGTGTCTACTATTATCATTATAATGTTTAAATTGCCGATCACGTGTCAACCATATTCGTATTGCAGATATCAAATATCTAATTTAAGATAACGGTAATATGTTAGATTACAGCGTACTAAACATAAATGGAAAAGACTGATGTTGAAAGAATTGAAAAAGCCCAATCACAATAAGTACACTTATCGAGACTCAATTAATATACAGCGTATTCATAAATAAATATATACAATTTTCTAAATATCGATATATTATATCTATTATCATTCAACACTATTTTAGTTTAGAACATACGTATAATAATAAAATATTTAAATTTTATCATTATACAAAAGAAGTTAGCTCAATTTGTACAATAGTATTGTGCGAAATTTTTATCAATGTCCAATGTTGTACAGAAATATAGCTTACAAATCTGACTGCATTTTTTATCAGTATAAACGTTAATTGAAACATTAAATGACTTACATCAGACAGGAAATTAAATTTGTCATGTTCATTCAACGTTAAGGAGATTTTTATCTAATAATATAATTTTTCATTACCGAATAAATAACGTGCATTTATTTTCAACTCCCATTATGGACCAGAGTATTTTCTGTATTACAGCATTACCTATTTCCACGTGGTCGACCTTGTATTAATTAAAAAACCGAGGATTCATAAAAGAATGTTAAAGACCAGGATTGAGAGGTCGATAGATGAGTATATGCGGTTTAGCCTGGGCGCTGCATAAGTTACGGGATGAGTGTTTTATTATGGGATTCGGCTTAAAGATGGTTGGACATTAAGGAAAGCATAATCATTACGTTTTACAGGATTATATTCTTCTAACTACATTATTCTACACTTTACTCTTTTCTACACTTTTTATTAATCAAATGATTATATTTATACAATTTACAATATTCCCATCATTTATCCGATTCTCATCTTTTATCCGATTTAGATATATTCCATTATTAACCACGAAATGGAGTAATAACTTATGATAAATTATTGCAATAATGAAGTAACGGAATATTCCTATCATACGATTATGATACGATTATCGCCTATTGACAAAAAATTAGCACACAATGTCTACCTTTAAAATATAACACAAAATTAGCACACGATATCTCTAAAAATTAGCACGCAATGTCTCTACCTTTAAAATATAAACAAAATTATATAGGGACTAATTTAAGAAAGTTTACATATAGTTGTTAAACGAAACCTGGAGGTTTCGCGCTGATGAAACGCGAAACCTAGTTTCGTCTTACGTCAATTAAAATCTTAAATGACGAAGTGACGAAACTGACGAAAGGGAAGAAAGGTAGCGAAACTGAAGAAAGGTGATGAAACTTACGAAAGATGACGAAATTGCAAATGGTGACGAAACTAATAAAAGATGCAGAAAAGTTCCAAAATCGAAATTACAAAAAGAAATGAACATCCATCATCATGTAAAGTAATTCAAGGGTAGTTATACTGTTTTCGATGATTTTGGTTTAAGGCTCGAAATATTAATTTAAATCAAAAAAGGCACATCTGTTCTCTAGATATTACATTATTTGATAACGCATTCACTGTGAAATCTAGCTGCTAAGTCATACCGTATTTTCGTGTAATAACGCTCATGAACGTTATTTAGAACCATAGCCCAAATTAAGCATAATGTGCGTCAAATTTTGAAATTACACCCCTGCGCGTTATTTCGCGAAAATACGATAGTTTATTTTTTATTAACCGCCTAGCTTTGTTTTGTTTGTTTCTTTACCAAAACATTGCCATTTGGTAGTATATGCATTTTTTTTTTTTGTTTTTTTTAGCAAGAGTTAGGTCGAGGTTCGTCTTTCGTCATTTTGCGTAATAGGTAAAGGGTTTCGTCTAACAACTATATGCGTACAACGAATCCTGTATATTATAAATGAATAATATTTTTGAATTTAATAACTAATTACACTAACATGATAACTTACTTTATAATCATTCTTTGATCTCATTTTGCGCTTCATATTACGGAATTAAGGCATGCGATTATGCAAACGCTCATTGTGATGAGAAGAAGTACAACGCGGCTTATCCTACCTTTCCAAAAGATTGTACGAATTTCTATTTCACAGGTATTAGAAGCTGGTAGAATTTCTCAATCTACGTCGTGGTATCGTCATAAACCATGTAGGGAATCATCAGGGTTCAGATGTTATAACGATTATGAATATACAAGTTGGAACGTTGTTGATGATCTTTATAATTGTCTAATTAAAAATAAAAATTGCGAGAAAATGTGACTTGAAAGATTTATAGCCAGGTGATTTGATACAATATAACAAAAAGAAGGCTATTCTTTTTTTTGGACTTCTAACGATCTCTATTACATTTGTGGTTGGTGTGATAGAATAATTTAGGATTCGTAGGACTCTTTTCAACGACGACTGCCGTGTGATGCCAATCGATCATAATTATGCTATGAATACTGACAAAGATGATAGATTTCGTCCTCTTTGCATTGATCATTAATTGAATTAGAATATATTATAAATATAAATAAAAAATTTTTAAATCTCTGTATTAAAATTTTCATGTTAATATTTGTCGCGGATAGTGGTGAAATCGAAATCTTGGGGCCTTAATTTAAAAATACAAACCCTACTAAAACCCACTTATACTCTTTTATCATAAACCCTAACCGTCCAAATCTTACCCTAAAAATTTTTAAAAATCGTATATTAAATAGGGTTTGATTTCACGATCATCCGTGACAATATTTAATATTGCATTGTCACGAAATGCCCCTGAAACAACGCGCACCTATACAAGGTTCAACTAAAAATTGGATATAGCAGGCAGTATAATAATATACTGCTATCACTTATTGATAATATAATGTTTTTACTTAAGAGAATTTAAATTTATTTGCATAGAATTTAAATAGAATCATAATAAAAAAAACTGTCGGATTGTTTTTTTTTTATGTACAGCAAGTTTTTTAATTATGGCGCTTTTCAATAAAGTGTGACATCATGATTGCATGATGATGATAAAAAAGGAATCTCCGAGATTCTAATA